ATGGGGGGGGGAAGAAGAGAAGTATCGAAGAGTTTGAGGTTTAGTTGCTGGCAGAGAAAATGTGAACTTCTTTGTCCATGTTATTCCAGGTGTGGGCCCCCATAAAGAAATAAAAAAGAAGTCTGTCTCGTTCTTTCTTTCATCCTTTCGTCCAACAAGCTGCTTCCATCTTCTCTATGCCTCTCTTGGGTGGTGGATTGTGAAAGAAAAATGTGGGTGCTGCCTAATAGCTGGCTGGTGATTCAGGTTATAAAGTCTGCCTGGCCATAAAGTGTTTGGGGGCTCGGTTGGCTTTGTTGGCTGGGTTGGAGGTACTGGCTGTGCTGGCTGCACCTATCTTTGGGTTGGATGGGGTTGGAGTTGGGCTTAGGGTTGGCCCAGTGCCCCAATCTTGCTGGTTAGGCCAAGGAATTTTTCTCACAGTAACGGCTGTTCTATCCATCCCTCCATCCATCCATCCTTCCACTCACACAACCAGCCAGCCAAGTAGGAAGGCCTCTCACTATCTGGGTGTTTAGCCAACAAATCCCCACTCCACTCCTTTGGCCTCTCGTCTTCGCCCATATATCAGGCTGACGGCTGCGGAGAACCCGACATCCAGCCAGCTGAATAAAACAGAGATTAAGCACCCACCCGAATCCATTTAATTACTCGTTCAACAGCTCTCGGCATGTAACTCCAACCGCTGTGAGAACTTTGGCGTTCTTAAGTCTTTGCTTTTACTCCCAGTGACCACAGGGAGGTTGAAGGAGGTGACTGGTCACAAATAAATCTTGGCCTTAGTAACTAAAATAAACGCATATTCAGTTGTTGTCAACTGAATGTTTGTGTGTCCGCAATTTAAGGCTTGGTTACCAGGTTGTGAAAGGTTGGGGGTGGCAGTCAGCTAAACTAGTCTATATTAACAATGACATCACATCACATCTGTAGACATCTGTAAATAAAGAGCATCTACAGTAACAAGTATGGATAGCATTTGAAAGTCAGCATCAATAAACAGAGCAACACGACTGGTATCAACACCTTTGCAGTATTGTCACCATTAACCTTACCACTGCAAACTAGCGTAGTACAAGGCTGCTTTTTGAAAAACTGTTGCATTTTTACTATAGTGTGGCAGGGATGTATCTTTTAAATCAGTAATCCGTAAATTACATATTAAGAAAATAATATAAAATTAACCCTGACCAAAATGAGCAAAACCGATTTGATTTGTTTATGAGTCCTTGATAAAGATTTCTGAAAAATGTGACAGAATCATGGCAATAAAATATTAGAGTTCACAAGGACAGGGTTGCAACCACAGTAGGCAGAATATATTTTTTTGGCATCTCTCAGGTGGTGTGCAAAAGCCTTCAATGAGTAGCTACGATATGGCCTGTTGTCAAGAATGCATCAGTTTGGCCGCAGCATGTTTGCTTTTGAGAAAGGGGTGAACCAGGGTGGCAAGAGCTGCCTTTCAATGTGTGTGACACAACAAAGTGGCACAAAAAAATGCTTTTTTTTGTCTCACTTCCAGCACTCACAAGGATCTGTGCAAGAGTGCATGCAAAACATTCATGTTCACATGCAGTAAGGCTCGAGAAAGCAGACAGGCCCATGATACTGATGATGAAAAATCTCTAAGCCAGCTAATGTGACTCAAACTCTACCAGTTTTCCATTTTTTCTAAAAAATACAACGCCACAGTTAGGATAGGATTTAGGTTTAACACAGCCCTCAGCTCCATTGTGGAGAGCTGATGGGGCTGAGGGCAAGGAGATAAGGTGCTGGGTGCTGGAGGGGGACTAGGCATCTGGGGTAAAACCTGAGGGGGACCCAGGGTGCTGCAGACTGCAGTTGCATGACCTTTTCTAGAATGCTGCCACCCGCCTGCCACTGAAACACAGTCTGGCTAATTAGAGTTTCAGTGGCATTGGATTTTCACTGGCACAGCACACCTCAGGCAACCTTGGGGGCTCTTAGGCAGGCGATACACACACAGAGGGAAGGGATGGGAGAGAGAGGAGCTGTGGAAACAGTTGAACAAGAGGACAGCCACTAGAGGACAGCAAGGCAGATCCAAGCAATAACAAAGTCAGTAGCTTTCCATAACAAGCAGGGGAAACGCTATGTATTAGAATGCAAATCTACAGTCACAAACAGGAACACTACGGCGGTATTTTACATAAGCTCTGACATGGTTTGCCCTTCCAAATAGTTATGCTCAAAATATTCAAGATCATATGGAATTAGAAATGAAATTGAAACTGTCCAACTCGGTACAACTTGGTGAATGCAAGAGCTAAACGACAGATATGCAATGTCAAAATGCTGAGTGCTTTTTCAAGTCTTATCGGGCCGCCTCTCAGGCTAATGGAATTTTGATGGGTCAGTATCAAGAAGAAATGCATGACTTATGACACAGCAACTGGGAGCATTACCAAATATACTGGACAGCATGTTCCTGTCTCCAAAGGATCACTGAATAATTGGCCGCGTTTGACCAGGACATTTCTGGAAATATGGCCAAGAAAAGGTTATGTAACCAGACAGACTCGCTCACGGCCTGTATTTCACAATCTGCTGGCCCTGTCTCCATTAATGATCTTGACCCCCTTTTCACCATTTTAGAAGTGAAAGGGCCTAATGGAGCCGAACAAAGCTGCTTGTGTGCGTCTGTGTGTCTAAGTGTGTGCGTGAGAGACAGAGACACAGAGAGGGAGAGAAAGCCCCTGTGACTGTTTGTTACAGCTTGATGAGGTCTTGGTCTGTGATTCCTGGGGGAGGTGGGCCAATCTAAGCTTTATTAGGCCTTATTGAGCTGTGTGCAGGCAGGTGTGTGCGTGTGTTTTCTCTATCAAGAACATTTGGCAGAGCTTTATGAGTACCTTTGTGTGTGTTTCTAAAATACACTCAGATGGTAGCGGTTTAATGGGGTGTGCAAGCTATTGTACATGGACCTTTTTTTCATGCCTGTAATTTTCTTCTCAGAGGAGAACATTTTAGTTTGATCAGTTTGGCATTTAAGGGTTTCAATATATAATTTATGTCCATATAGCAATGCCTGTCTATCAAAACGACAACTGTGGGGTCTAATTATGTGTCGAAGTATGTAGCAGCCTGTTACCTGAAATATTTTACAATATTTTATCACAAATATACACAGGTCTATGAGGTCTCTTGTATATAAAGGTGCAACCTATGGTCTTTTCTTCCAAAAGAGGAAAGATAGAGCAGTTAAGCAAGTGACTGATTATCCAACTACAGACAGAGTAAAAATTTGCCAATTTTGGGCTGGCGTGCAAACAATAACCGGTGGCCAGGTGGACCAGCTTCGATTGACATTTGAAATGGCGGTCAAGTAAGTTTTATTCAGGCATGTGATTGGCAAAGGGCAAAAAAGCAGGAAATATACTGACCCCCCCCCACCCCGATCAAGCTGGCGGTGGCTCTAGATAAGTGTCTAATCCACTGCACCATCGCAACCTCTCTATAATAATTATTATTTTGTATACATTTTTTTACCAAACTTCAACAGCTAAATGTGCAACATGAAATAATTGAGTATATAAATAAATAATATAACTACTAACTTTCAAATTAGTTCAGTAGAAGTTAATAGATTATTTTTAATGAATATGAGACAGCAGCAAAGTCTCCTTTTTAAGACCTGGTGGCCTAAAGATACAGTTATATTATTCAGGAAACTCAGATCAAACAGCAGATCAGTCTGTCTGTTGATAAACTGTAGGAAAAAGTTTGACATTTCAACTCTGGCAGCGGGCGTGTGCGTGAGACGAGAACGACCACGACAGTTTCACGGGATCGTGCCAGCTACACAGAGGCCGTTGCCATGGTTACCCCGCAGAGGGCTTGTTTGCCTGTCTGTTGATGGGGAAAGCAGAGCTTTTTGCTGGTCGCACAAAGTTTACAACGGACGACAATGTTCTTTACATTTTAGACTACTGTGACACAGTAATGGCAATAACGTTACTTACAGCTGTCAAAAATACCTCTCTCTCTCTCTCTGTTCTCCTGTCTTCCTTTAGCTTTTTGGCTAACAGCTGACTTGAACAACAGGTCCGGTGCCACTGAGCTGCAGCGCAGTCGCGCATTTACGTCAGGGATGGTGTGTTCAGTAGCGCAGCGTTACTTGGATTAGTAACTGTTTAGGAAATGGTAATCCCTTACATTACTCTTTACTGGGAAAAGTAATATTCCAGTATTACTGCCCAACACGTTACTACTGATGCGCGAGAGCCTGTGGTACACACTGCGCAGGTGTGGAATGGGCAGCTACACGTAAACGAACATCCAATCCAACAGAGGCTGTTTCAAGCCATCACATGGCGGGCCAGAACAAAGTGAAATTATTTGAAATCCTCATACAGGCTAATCCTGTGCACGTTTAGCACAGTTGCCGCGGTACTCATAAGAAATAACTGCAGATATTTTTTTTCTGCCTTGTTAAACAAATTGATTATAAGGACACTTTTGCACATGCTCACAATAAAGCACGTACTGCAGTGTGTGTGTGCACGTCCCGGTGTTTGATCCGCATTCATAAACCTATGGACACTTTTCATTTCCCTGAGGAAATTCAGGGAATCCAATCACACATTTACTGACGGCTTTTTCAGAGGTGTGAACTCTTCAAAGTCAAAGCTCTCAATAAACTTCTCATGCTTTTATTTTGGAGGCACAATCACTTAAGAGGAAGTGAATGTGTGAGTAACTGTTACTGTCAAGACTGAGATCTATTTCAGAACCAGCCGCTATCAATTTATATATTTTTTATTTTTCTGCTATCAAAGCAATCTAGCCGCGGACCAGACACTATTGCTGGCAGGCCAGTTCTGGCCCGTGGGCCACCTATTGCCAACCACTGCTTTACACCATGTACTGCTAAATACATACAGCCAGGAGAGGCACATCATGGCCAAGTACACCCCATAGTGGCATTTGCATGTGTGAAGGAGGATCTTCTGTATTTAACTGTAATTGCTCCCAGTACTCACGGTTGGCAGAGTTTGATGAGGTCCTGGTCGGTGGTCCCAGGTGGCAGGCCTCGGATATACAGGTTGGTCTTACTCAGCTGCTCTGCCCCTCCCTGGCTGCAGCTGTTGGTGCTAGGGCTGGGAGGAGCCATGGGATGAGGGGGTGGAGCATAGGGCTGCTGGGAAAAGAAGGGTGAAGAGAGGAACGATTTAACACATTACATTACATTTATTCATTTAGCTGATGCTTTTATCCAAAGCGACTTACAATTGCTATACATGTCAGAGGTCGCACGTCTCTGGAGCAACTAGGGGTTAAGTGTCTTGCTCAGGGACACAATGGTGGATGGGTCACAGTGGGGGATTGAACCCGGGTCTCTCACACCAAAGGCATCTTATCCGTTGCGCCATCACCACCCCACAAACAATTAAAAATAGGTTTTAATTTTTAAAGACATGGAGGGGGAGGGTAAGTGAAAGAGTTAAAAAACACTGACAGGTGTGAAAAAAAATGCTAACATTCCTGAGACAGCAGAAGAAAGTGTGAGAAGGAGTGGGAAAAAGATATATCTTTTGAAGAAACAGCAGGCACTACCAGTGTCAATGTCACTGCAATTATGAGAGTAGACATTTTAGGGTGGCGAGACTGAGAGGATGAGATTAGGGTCACTAATAGATGAAAACATTCAACCCAAAAGTCGATATTAATGAGTAGAATTTCAAGAAAACCAACTTCTAACCTCAGTCTCAAATAACACAAATGCATTGGGGGGAAAAATTTCTTCACAGACAAAAAAAGGTCCTGACAAAAAAACAACTCGACACATTCTATATCTGTATATTCACTTAATATTCACTTTCCCCACTTTATATTACTTTTAGTCACCGTTTAAGAATATATATATCTTCATATATATCAATAAATTGCATCTGAAGTGCTTTTTTCCTCTAAACATGCAACTGGAGTGCAAACTTTTCTATATTTTTTATTTTAAGTAAACATTTCACCAAGGGGACCCTCCGAAATTAGGGGTCATAACGCTTCCAGCAGCTTATAGCAGTTTTAAATGATGGCAACTTCCTGCTTACTATTCATACCCTCAAAACCAATTTTAACACACTGTAAAACAATTTACACCTCCGAGGGTGTGATATCTTGATGCAGAAAATCCTCCCCAGCCTATTTCATAAACATCGCAATATGAACATATTTTTTTAGAATAATCTCTATCTTCCAAGATTTATTTAATATGTATTACAAATGTGATACCCTCCCTTTCTTCTTTTGCCTCTCTTTCGCCCTCTTCCCTCCCTTGCTCTCATCTGTCTGTTGTGCTGTTAGAGTAGATTTATGGTATAAGAGTCAGGGCCCCCTGCTCACAGCCTTTTTATATCTCTATTGCAGGGATTCTGCACATAGTGACAGAAAGAGCGATCCAGGACCCTGTGGGCATGAGCAGAAAGAGAGAGAGAGAGAAAGGGAGAGAAACACTAGAAGAGGGTGAGTGAGGAGGGAAGAGAGAAAGAGACACTGCAATAAAGTAAGTGATTGATTGATGAAACTGAGAAGAAAAAATGATCAGAAAGAGAGGGGGACATGACTAAATACCACCAGCAGCTCGCGTTAACCACATCAACCCTTTATCCTCCACAGAGAGAAGCGCAATACCTCATACCATATCGTAAAAACACACACACAGTTAAACACGCAAATACACACACACACACACACACACACACACACACACACACACAGCATTAACCCTCCAATCCGCCCCACACGTTAGCAGTGGCTGCTGAAGCATGGCTGATTTGGTGCGCTATTTTAAGCGTGTGTGCCATGCCAGCGTGTTGCCGCCCACTCCTCAGACAAAGAACCGGGGTCCCTGGAGCGTGAAGAGGGAGCCACGTCCATCAATGGATGGCCAATTACCACGCTGAGCTAAGTGGAACTGATGGGTAGCCACTCACTGTGCTGGACACACACACACACTGTACACACCTCCGTGTTTGTGCACACACACGCCACGTTATAACACTGAAACACCTTACAGTGCCCCATTGCTAGAGGTGTTTTAAGTCCTTTGGGGTAACTCCAACTGACAAGTCTCAAGTCCTGTAGGACATAGATCACGAGTCTTCATACAAAAAATACAAAGTAATAATGAAAGTCTCTGAATTCTCTGAATGGTGGCCATGATAAGCATGTGAACAATGTCCGATCTAATCTGTAATAATGTTATTTACATAGCCAAGACCATTTAACTAATTTTTTATTATAGAGTCAAAAGATCACACACGTGGCTTCAGGGTTAAGACGTCAACCATGAACCACAACATCCCGCATTCAAATCCAACCGGCCTTTTTTGCATCTCTCTCTCCCTCATTTCCTGCCCTCTCCCCCTCTTACCTTTATAATGAAGGCATGACAAAGTTGAGAGTTAATTGTGTTCGTCGTCAAGTCTTTATTTAGTAAGTTAAATCCCACAGCAGTAAAGTTCTCAAGTTGCCACTTTTCTGACTTAAGTCTGACTCAAGTCTATAACTTTGACAAGTAGACACACACACACACACACCAAATCCCAATTTAGCCCCTCCTCCAGCAGACTGTGCCTCATACTGCTTTGGTAGCCTTGGTTGCACAGACTAGAATGAAAAAAAAGCAGCACTAGTCTCCAGTCACTCACGTTTTCATGCAGTGGCAGTAGTATAGAAGAATCTTAATCTCTTGAGTGCTCCATGGGAGTTATTTTCTCCCACTCAAAGTCACTGGAATGTGCACAGCTGCAGTTCAAGCCTCGACTTAGAGGCTTTCACCTTACGTCCCCCTCCCCTTCTCCTCTTCGTTTTATTTTTCCCTAGCCCACTGTAGCTTAAATTACACACACAGTACTTAACATACTTTGTGACACGTACAAATTGACCTGCACAAACAGGAGACACTACACAGTGTTGCTGTCAGCGCTGAAGGTTAATTGAAAGCCTCTCTCTCTTTCTCGGGCTTTCTTTCTTTGTTTTAGCCCTTCAGTAGTACACAGAGCTCCCCCCCCCCCTCCTCCTCCCCCCTCCTCCTCCAGGCTTGGCTTGCATCCTGGGCTTTGGAATTCATGTGTCCCGCCCTATCGATTTGCTTTCATTTTTTAAGGTCAGAAGCTGAAATCTTACACAATGAGGCATGGAGGGTCAAAACCAGCCCATTACTTACAGTGTTGGGCGAGAAGGCAGAGAGCGAAGTTATCCAAGGGGAAAGAAAAAGGCCGGAAGAAGTCCCCCGGGATGAAATATGGAATGGGTGCTGAAGGTCTCAGAGGAATGCCGACTGTTGGAAGGATGGTGGGATGGGGTGAGTGGGTTTAATGTTGGATTTTTGTGGACTTAGTGGTGTGTTTTTGATTATATTCCTCTTCATGGCAAAATGCATAAAGTAAATGCAAACGTTTAGATATGTAGAATATAGGGCTGACCCCCAATAGTCGAAGATTCGATGCTTCGATGGGCGGATCCTGATTCGACTGTCAATCTCACTGACGAAGCTTCACAGCGAAGCCAATCCATTTTGGTGATATGTGGGTGCCCAACATCTGATTTTACATAGAACTACCAGTTTTCTCCCAATAAGTTAATATACAGCCTATTACAATATACATTTCAACGTTTAATGCTGTAAATAAATATGTAAAAGGAATAAAACTTTCAATAAATGTTTTTAAAAGTACGTAAATAAATTAACAATACAGTAACAATCGCAATCGCCGCTCACAAAAACACACGATTCGACTATCAGTCGACTATAGGCAGGACTTGACGATTCTGATTCGACTGTGTAAATCCTTAGTCGGGGACAGCCCTAGTAGAATAAACTACCCGCCCCCCCCGCCCCCGCCCTCTGTCTTAAATCTAATTCTCTCTTGGCTTCTTCTGGTCGCCCCACTGGAGGTTAATAACCAAGCTTGTCTCTCTTTCCGGATGGTTCTGTGACTGCTGTTTACCCTCAGCCTGTCAGCTTGTGAATCTGGATTCTTAAATATATAATAAATACAGGCCTTGTGTGTCAGAATGATGAGGATTGAATACAGGACTAGGGAATGGAAGATTAAGAGAATGGGAGAGAGAGACAAAGAGGGAAAAAAGCAAAAGAGAGTTAAAGAGAGAAATAGAAGAGTGTGTGGGAGACTAGCTGGTTATGACACTTCAAAAACCTCCAGGTGGTAAATGAGAAAAACCTCCATTCTCCCTCCTCCCTACCCAGCTGTGACATGCCGCTACAGAGGCTTACTGGGGATTTCAATTTGCCGCACTGTATTTTAGACGGGCAGAATGGTTTACACAGGCCCAATTTACCGAGCCAGCCATGCGGGGGGGGTTCACAGCCTCCGCGACATGCCAGGGAATGTTTATGAGTATATTAAGTGAGGATGATAAATCTAGCGTACGTTACATAGGCAGAGAGCATACAGCGCTGCACTGTATACTCATACACTCACACACGGACAACACAATTCCCCCCCCCCCTTTTTTTTGCACACCATATTTAGCCCTTTCTGTCACTGAATATAACTTGTAATATACTTGATTGTACAACACTGCTGTGTTATTTCTTATTGTAAATCTGGCATCCAAAGATAGCACAAGGATGGAATTGTAATTACAGTGCTTTTTACAATGAACCTTTTTTTGAACAAAATTCTAAACGAAACACTTTTGTTTTTGCACCCATTCTTCATGAGATGAACTCAAAGATCTAAGACTTTCTCTATGTACACAAAAGGCCTGTTTCTCTCAGATATTGTTCACAAATCTGTCAAAATCTGTGTTAGTGAGCACTTCTCCTTTGCCGAGATAATCCATCCACCTCACATGTGTGGTATATCAAGATGCTGATCAGACAGCATGGGTAATTTGGACAGTTTATGTATAACTATTTACATATTCATGTACTGTACATACAGCACCTTTACATTGAAGAAAATCTTGATAGATTATGTGCGCATGTGCTATTATGACCTTATTTACAATGCATATGATTGCTGTTCTATTAAAACCACATATCACCAAAATATCAGTTTCATGAGCTTCATGTTTGCAGCTTTGTGACATCGCATTTCTCAGATAATCAATTTTTTAAATGGTTTTTTTAAACTTTTCAATGTAGGAGAACATGTAACTCTTAATTTATCT